TTGAATTGTTTACATGTAATGGAAGGTCATTTATGTACAATAAAAATAAAAGAGGGCCCAGAATTGACCCTTGTGGCACTCCTGCTGTGACAGGTTGAATATTGGAGACACATGTTCCAAATTTAACACACTGGGTCCTGTCGTAAAGATATGACTTAAACCATTTTATAGCTGTTTGGTCAAATTTGTAATGATTTAATTTCTCTAGAAGAATATCGTGATTCACCAAATCAAAAGCTTTACTAAAATCTATAAATGTAATGCCGATTAGTTCACCACGATCCATTGCATTAAGCCAACTTTCTGTTAGTTTTGTAAGTGAAGTTTGACAAGAATGGAGTTCCCTAAATCCCGACTGGGATTGTGTTAGTAGATCAAATTCATTTGTGAAGTTTTGTATTAGCTTAGCTACATGTTTTTCTATCAGTTTAGATATAGTTGGTAAAATAGAAATGGGACGATAATTATTTGGGTCAGCTTTGTCACCTTTCTTAAATATAGGTGTTACTTTGGCTTGTTTTAAATTTGTCGGGAAAATACCACTTACTATGCTAGCATTAATAAGATGAGTTATAGGTTTACATATATATTTGGATGCGACTTTTAGAAGACGCGGGCCAATAAAGTCAATGCCAGCTGATTTATTGATATTTAGAGAATTTAGCATGTTAAAAACTTCACTTTCCTCAATTTGATGAATACTAAAGATGGTTTCTTCATCAAGCTTAGACCTTACAAAATTACATAATATATTAGGATCATAATCATGTTTAGGCAATTTCATCAGAAGCTTATTAGAGATATCCGTAAAGTGGTTATTAAAAGTATTTGCAATATCCTGTAAATTATCAACAATTTCCCCATTAGAAAACACATGAGATGGTGTTATGTTCTTTGAATTACATGTTAATTGATTAAGATAGTTCCACATTTCTTTGGGATTTGAACTTTGTTCAATAGCTGTTTTATAGTAAGACGATTTTGATTTGTCTATAAGAAGACTAACTTTGTTTCGATAAATTCTATAGTTCTCCATATCTCCTTCTTTATGGTAAGAGTCCCGTAAATGTCTAGCATTGTTTATTTCTTGTGTCATCCATTTAGGGCGGATTTCGCTCTTTACGCGTTTTGTTTTAACCTTTGCATGCTGGTCAAGTATACTATTAAATAAATCATAGAATTCAGTTAGTATTTCATTAGGGTCATGCATCTGGAGGAGATTGTTAAAGTCTACATCTTTTAAGTCGTGAAGGAATTTATTTTCATCGAACTTTTTGAAGTCTCTGTACTCTATTTCTACGTGTTTTCCTTTTTGTTGCATGCATTTTGTTTTTCTAGTGGCACATATTGGGTAGTGGTCAGAGATGGCTATAAAAGGTACATTTACTTCACACATGTTATCTGGTTTATTGGTGTAGAAGTGATCTATTAGGGTACTTGAGGTATTAGTTACTCTGGTTGATGCTGTAATTAATTGTGAAAAACTAAACTCCTCTAGAGCATATGTCCAACTTTGTGGGGGTTCTTTGAATAAGTCTACATTAAAGTCACCTGTTAAGATAATTTCTGCATCGTCACAGCAGGAGGCACAGTTAATTTCTCTAGCCAGGTCCTCCGCCCAGCAGGAGGGAGCAGATGGTGGACGATACGCTGAACAATAATAAACTGGTTTAGAATTCTTTGAATTTAATTCTAGCCAGATTGTTTCAATATCACCAATTTCAAAATCAGTTCTACGCTTGTATCGTATATTATCGGAGATATATACTACAATTCCACCACCTGCCCTCAGAATGCGATCCTTCCTTTCCATTTCAAAGCCATCAATATTCAACTCAGAATCACTAATGTTATCATTCAAAAAGGTTTCACAAAGTCCTAAGATATTAAGATCTTGTTTGTTTTGAAGCAGAATTTTAATTTCTTCAATTTTTGGCAAATGTTAAGGTTTCCAAATTTTAATCCCTTTTTCATCAAACCAAAATTACTTTTACTTGTTACACTATCATTTTTTGGTGTAAATACAGTTGATTCGTCTGATTTTTGTGAAACCTTCTTGGCAGCAAAATTAGGCCTATTAATATTTTTCTCTGTCTTAATGAATTTATGCGAATTAGATAAAGTGTTTGACTTAATTCTAGAATTTTGAAAAAATGAACATGAAAACTCATTATCACGACATAAACAATTAACCTGATTACATTCGGAGCATAAATTATTAAAAAGAGAATATACATTATTGTTATTAATTATCCCTCGGGAATTGGTGACGGCTATACTTCCATTGCCCGTTTCCTAGTGGCTATGCGGGCAGAGCTTGGTTTTGTGACCTAGCTCTCCACAGTTCCAACAGTCCAGCTTTCTCCCATGCCTGCAGTATCGCGATATGTGGCCACTTTCCCCACAGAAATAGCAGAAAGTTGAATGGAAGGAATCGTTGCAAAGTGATGGTGTAATTTTTCTGAAGTCTCCTCGCCCGTTTCCGCTTTTCAGTATATTCACATAACCTTCGTAGATTTTGAGCAGAGCTGCGGTACCTCTGTCTGACAGGTGGATTCCGTCTTTCCAGTAGTATCCCTGTTTAAGATGTCCACTTCCAAAGAACTTTGAAGTAGGAATCACAGTGACACCATACATTTCACACACATCATTAATTATTTCATTAACATCACTGACATTCGTATCACGCCTTGATAACACTTCTGAAATATACACACGTACACTGGGATTCCGATGTTGAAGGTCTGCGATTATTTCCGCAAAATCGTGTTCCATCCCCTCTGCATCCCGCCGTCTTGATGCATCATTTCCTCCAGCTAAAACAATAATACTTTGATATGATGATACATCCATTCTTGAAAGTTTTGTCCTTATATCTGAGATGGTTGCTCCCCTGTTTGTGCTGACCTGTACTGTTGAATGTAATCCTCTGGTGCGAATCCTTTGTAAAATCGAGCTCCCAATGATGAGTACAGATTTTTCCTCTGGTTTTTTTCCGGGTTGCTTTTTTCCCCTCGTGAAATCTGCGGGATTTGACAAAACAGGAGCAGTCTTGATGTCTGGAGCCTCCCTGGAGTCTGTCATTGTACTGCTACTGGTTGAGGGGACTTTAATTTCGCACTGACTATGCCTGGATACACCAGGCCCAGGAATTTTAATTCCTTCTGTTGATGTTTCTTTTTCTTTTGTCCTGTTTGGAACTGTTTGGGTTCCTTTTGTAATAAGAGGTGTGACCGTCCTTGAAGCATTTAATTGTTTTTTTAAATCACTGACTTCTTTTGACAGAAGTTGGACCGTATCTGAAAGTTCCTTAATGATTTTTGCACTGTCAATGCACTGATGGCAATTCAATTTGGGGTCTTCATCAGTTTGTGGGGCCTTACTTTTAGGAGTAGATGTGCACTGGGGTGATGTTTCCTCTATGGTCTTACATCTTGTCTCCAAATTTTCATCAGAGGTCTTCAAATCCTTGAGAAATCTCTGGCACCACGAGAAATATGAATCTCCTTGGATGTGAAGGGTATTTGTTTTCTCATAAATGGTAGCTGTGACAGAATCATCTTGAGATTTATATATAGACCCATGTCTTCTTTTCTCGCGGTTTTTAAAAAGCACAAGCTCGCTCTGTAGAAGATCCAAGATGATTGGGTACTTGTCTCCATTAAATGTTATTGTTACACTCCTCTGATTTTCCTTAACTTGAAGGAAATCTGGCGCATCTGAATCAAGTTTCACAGATTCATTTTGAAGCTCATTATTTGCACTAAATGATCTTGAAAATCCAGTAAATGAGTCCAAAAGTGATTTGAAAAGGTTAGAACTTTCACTCAAACTCATTATTATTCCATTGGGAATAGTAATTTGAACGTAACATATAGTCATTTATTTGAATATCTTAAATGTGTCTTATATGTGTCCTATATGTAAATGCTCAAACTTATATTTTTTAAGAAGGCAGGGAAATTTTTTTAACAGTTATCAGACTTATAAAATTCATCAGACTTTAAAATACACGAAAATATATAGATAAATGACCATTAAGTCTTCTCCACATATGAGTAATAAGTTAATTTTTTTCGTCTGTAATTTCCTTTAGAATTTTCCAAGGAACGCATGTTTCGTCTAATTCTAAGCATCATTCAAATTGTAAAAAAAAATCTAAGAGTATTCAGCTTTCTATTTAAGGAATAACTGATAGGATTTTTGTTTTTATTAGGAGTCCATATCTCTCCCATCGTCTGAAAAGTCTCACATCCACTGACATTTCCTTTTGTTACGATTTTTTGCTTTAAAAATGTCACCTAAACATTGATTGGTTATTCTCAAGATGTAGATTGCATCCTGACAATCATGTAGATCTGATATCGATAGACCAGTATATCGATGATGCAATGTATCCAATATATAAATAACTGTCCCGAAAGTCTGTTTACGCGGTAACAAAACTCCCCTCCGCAACTAAAGAGCGCATCAAGGGAGATACATGTAATCTCGAAACTTGCGTATTGATATCAACTAGTGCAAAAGACTATGAAATTCAAAGATATTATGGTTTCCCTACCAAAAATAAATACTTTAGTTGGTTTTCTTGATTCATTGCAAGACGTTTGTACCATACAAGTATTTTAGTCAATATTTCAAAAAACATGTGCCGCTATTTGAATATCAGGTGTTTTTAGACTGTAAATTCAATGTTAAGTATGAAAAACATGTTTAATCAAACACAACCACTCAGGTGATTTGAAGTCGTTTAATTGATTAGACCCACCTTCTTTTCGATTACTTTTAACATATGTATCCAATCGGATTAGGGACTGGTAAAGAATTCGTTTATAAAATAACTTAAATAGCGTAAAATTTGAATCGCTTATCACCACTTTAAAAGAGGAGAAATAACAATGATGTATAAATACAATCATAGGCGATTGTTGAGGGCCGTGTTTGTTGTTTCAATTAGTTTTGCCGAATCAGTGTCTGAACGGTATATTGCTCAACTAAATATGGACGACGCTTTTATTCGAGAAAATGTTTTGGCAGAGTATGACGCATATTCAGTAACTATGTGTGCAGCCATGTGTGGCCCAGAGTGTACGTATTTTGGCGTCAACTTGCAGGCTAATAAATGTCGAGTTTACTCGGGATGTCATATTGGTAACTTAACAGAAGTTCAAGTAGGATGGAGGTACTTTAGTCAGGAATCTGAAGGTATTTCATTTTCATCACAGTAAAACTGGCACATAATGAACTCTGCTTTAAATAATTTATTGCAGCTACTATATGAAATGAAACGTATGATAAAAATTATATATGGTGAGAGAAAGAAAAAGAAAAGTTACAGACTTTGAGCTGCTCCTACGCAGAAGGACTACAGAAAATTGACAGTAGTGAATAATTTTACTAAAAAACAGAGATTTTTTTGAAAGTTATTCTCTAGAGATTTAAAAGTGAAATAAATTTAGGATGTCCAATTATTAATCATAATCTTTTAAATATTTTATAATATGACTTGACCTTATACAAATAGACGCAAAAGGCCTGATTGGGACTCAGGAGATTGAAAAGTACGAAAGCCCAGAAGGCTCATTCGAGATTCGAGATTCGAAATACGAGATTCGAAATTCGAGATTCAAAATTCGAGTCTCGAGATTCAAATTCCAAATTAACCAATCAAAAGGCAGGTTCAACTTTCATTACTCCCCTTTGTTATGTTTAACTATCAAGAAATCTTTGAATATATTCATATCAAATGGGTCCAGAAGGCTCATTCGAGATTCAAGATTTGAAATACGAGATTCGAAATTCGAGATTCAAAATTCGAGTTTCGAGATTCAAGATCCAAATTAACCAATCAAAAGGCAGGTTCAACTTTCAATACTCCCCTTTGTTATGTTTAACTATCAAGAAATCGTTGAATATATTCATATCAAATGGGTTATTTGCATAAATGATAATGCAAGAAAAAAAGGTATACATGTATGTATTAAAACGAAATAAAAAGGAATTTTAGGTTACATTTTGGAAAATATGTATAAATTCTTATTTTTCCTCATAAAACAAAACAATAGATACGTATAGAGAATATTATATAGTCTTATCGTTGAATTGCGGAATTCTTCGGTCGACATTTTTTTTAATAAGAACATTGATGAGGGAGAAAATTATTATTTATATGAAATACTAATGAGGGTACATTTTTTACATTGTGCCCCCCCCCCCCCCGATGATTCTGCCGATATATAAAATACTATAGAAATCATAAAAACTATATGCTTGTGCCCCCTCAACTTTGTTCCCCCTCAATAAAAACATTTGATGACTTTTTTTGCTTTGTTTTTGGTTGTCAAGAAATTTTTGGTGGTTGAAAACTGAAAATATTTTGGTGTGCCCCCCCCCCCCCCCCCAATGAAATGAGCAGTATGGTTTTACTAGTATATTTGAGTTTTCTACAATAACACTATGGTCAGAGACTAAAATATAAAACAATAACGTCACAGTTCTACAGCTAAGCTAGACTCATCAACTATTTGCTTTTCCAATCTGTATTGTATCTATAATTTTAAATAATTCAAGTAATCAAAGCCTTAGACCAAGATAAGTAATTGAAAACTAAATTTTTCTGTATTTCCTCTATATGAAGCCTACAAAATATTTTTGTGCCCTAGAAAAACGAAATAACGTTAATAAGAATATCAACAACTTGATTAATAATGATGGTAAATATGTAAACTAATAACAAGAGATCTTGGAAGAAGTTAGAAAATTTTACATTTTAAATCTACATGAAAATAAAGATCAAGAACTCGATGATCTTGAAGATGTTTTAACTTGTGTAATGATTGGGTATGTATCTTGCGAGACCCAAGCGGTTTCCTTTTAAATAACTATCGAATAAATATTTATTGTATCCATGCATCGCAAGATTGACAATGGATGTTGATAACCACATATTTGCCCCCCCCCCCTCCCACTTAGTCTTTCCCGTAATAATTTTCCGATATACTATACTATAGAAAGCAGTAACTTTAGGCTTATGTCCATTCAAAAATAACTTCCAATTACCATGATAACTCCTATTTTTCGAGGTTGGGGGGATAGGGGGATTAACAATGATTTTTTAATTTAATTTATTATTCCCAGTGGGTCATTATCTTTAAGCTTGGATGTTTCAGCCATCCGTATTTAAGGGGCTGTCTATTGGTTTCATAAACTTGGTCACTGGCCACTTTCTAATACCATGTCACAAACACTATCCACCTTGAAACCCGTAACTATTACTAAATATTACAGAGACGAAGCATCAATTCTGAAAGTGGGGTGCGGGGAGGATGGGGAGCCAGACAAAATATTATTTCAAACCTGAAAATAAAAACTGACGAAAAAAATTTGTCCAAACCCGAAAATCCTATTTCGGGACGTGAAATAGGGCGGGGTGGGGTCGAACTTCCTTTAGTACCTAATTTCTTTTAATACACTACTACTTAGACTTCTTTGACTATACTGCACCACTGTACCAAAACGTGTTTGGGGGTGGGGGGGGTGGCGCTTGACAACCGACCTTTCTATGAACATTTTCATTAGTAAAAAAAAATATTTTTAGAAAAAAGGGGGATGCATGCACTGTTTAACTAAGTTTACTGTTATGTCAACAACCCTGTAACCAAAGTAGATAACACGAAATATGTAATTATATTCTTTATATAAATCTCTTATAACATTTAAGAAGCTATTATAAATTAATTAAGCATATCTTGCAGACAAAAATCCATAAATTCTTTAAAATTCGTTTTGATAATATATAACACTTTTTCTTGCGTTGTAATTTATTCAAATGCCCCCTCGGTATTAAAATCTTAATAGTAAAAAAATAATAAAGGGGAGTAATTGAATCTCAAACCTCCTTTTGATTGGTTATTTTGGACCTTGAATCTCGTATTTCGAATCTCGAATCTCGAATTTCGAATCTCGTATTTCGAATCTCGAATGAGCCTTCTGGGCTTTCGTAGAAAAGAGTGGCTAAGATACATTTTCCTATGTATAAATATTTATATTTCAAGACTGTTTTTTAACCCCGTTTCTTTTATAATTTTAGGGAGTAAACGTCCACTGAATTGTAAAACATTGCTCGCTGATGGTCATACTTTGTCCAATGTTTATATTATTTATCCCCGTAACAACCAATGGTCAGTCAATGTCCAGTGTGATATGACCACCAAGGGTGGAGGATGGACGGTCAGTTTAATAAATATTCAATCAATTAGTGCATTGTTTTATAACTATTTTTTAAAATAACATCAATAAGGGTTCTTCAATAATCCAATAGGTTATACAGAAACGTGTTGACGGATTAACCGATTTCAACAGAACTTGGAATGAGTACAAGCAGGGATTTGGTTCAGTTAATTTATCTTATTGGTTGGGTATATACATTCTGGTTTATTTTTAAAGAGATTTGTATCCTTATTTTGAGTATATAAGAAATTCAGTAGAGACATATAATTTGATATGTCGGATATTTTTTTCCCTTTTTTAAACATATAAATTGTACATGTTTATAGCTGTCTTTTTATAAATCAATTATGTATTGTTCCTCTATAAGTTCTACTAAACAATATTCCTATTATTTTTTTTAAGGAAATGACATCATTCATCTGTTAACCAAACACAAGCCGTCTCTGTACGTATCCATAACTCTGACCAATGGAATCACTCTATACCAACAGTACGAGGAGTTCTCCATAACCAACGAGACAGACAATTACAGACTTTACCTGAATGGACCGAGAACAGGAACACTAGGTGAGATTTCGGTTTACATGTAATAGCTCGCCTGAGCCGAAGGATCAATTGAGCTTTTCTGATCAAATAGTGTCAATCCAGCGGGGTTCCAGGTTAGAAAAGGTTCTCAGTACCTAAGTACTCCCTTGCTTGTCGTAAAAGGCGACTTAATGGGGCGGTCCTTCGGATGAGACCGTATAAACTGAGGTCCTGTGTCACAGCAGTTGTGGCACGAAAAAGATCCCTCCCTACTCAAAGGCCGTAAGTGCCGAACATAGGCCTAAATTTGCAGCCCTTCACCGGCAATGGTGACGTCTAATATATCAGTGAAATATTCTGGAGAGGGACAATAAACAGTATATAATCAATCAAACAGTGTCTGGCGTCTGTCTGTCTGTCTGTCCGACTGTCTGTAAACGTTTCATATTTTCGTCTTCTTCTCAAATCATGTGCCAATTTAAACCAACTTGCCACAAAACATCCTTGGACAGAAAAGGTTCAACGCATTTTGTCAAGGGAGATAATGAAGAATTTCTGACAATCTGGCGGTATCACTTAGAAATCTTCTCAAAAACAATTGGGCAAGAAAAGCATAAAGAGCGATATTTGGTAAGTGTCTCAATTGGCCCCTTAAAATGAATATCTTAATTTTACTTTATATATAGCTATAAATTGTAGAGCTATATATGCGACCTAAATTGGTCATTTTCATTTTGATCAAAATGCTGTTATTTAAGAAATATGACATAATAAAAATCAGGTTTTCCCGCCACTTTAGCATATTTTGTATAAAACTGCTTTTTTCAAGCAGTTTTTCTTCCTGAAAATATAGAGCGCAGCCTAGAACAAGATTCATATTTTGACCAAAGATGTATCTATCCAATACTAATTAGTGAGCGAAAAATTATGTATGTTCTAAATTGCGCTCTTTGTTTCCCATAAGAAAAAAACATCAAGAAAAAGGCATATTTTTGGCTTTTTTTTTTTTTTGCTAGATAGCAAAAATAGCATTATTTCTAATGTCATTTACGGCTAGTGAGTGCAGATAAATGTGAAAAATATATTGGAAATATTTCTTACATAATCTCTTCTACAAAATAAATATCAATTAAAGATATCTGAATGTCATTCTAAAATGTTGATTTTTAGGGGGCCAAAATTGGCTCTTATCATATATACTCCTTTATGCAAAAGCTTCAATAATGTTTAAGCTTTAGATTAAAATTCGTTCATATCATAAACCATGGGTTAGGGCGGAGTAATAAAAGAAAGAAGGGGGGGGGTTCTGAGTTTCAAATAGAAATATAAGAAAATGATTTTTAAATATCTTTTTTAAGAACAACAAAACGATTTGTCTTATTATAACAAAAGTATCCTCAGGTAGTGTAGATTCGAATTCGTTCAATTTATGATGGGGAGTGTCATAATTTTTACATCATGTAGATTTTTTGGGAGGACTTGTTGTGTAATTTAAGTGTTAGGATAGTTTTTCTTAAGCTCGAGTGTGCTGTTTTGATGTTGAACATTTCAAATTTAAATATCCTTGTTCCTCTTGCTTGTCCGATATGTACATAGCAAAAAAGTATGTGTGAAATTTTCCTCTTACACGTCTGTTGACAGATTTAGAATTTATGAATCGTGTTTATATCGGACAAGTGATAAACAGGGATAAATTGAAGATATTCTGTGTGAATCTACAATAGAAGTATGTCCTCTTACTGAAAATTGCTGGGTGATTGAGTGTAGTTTATCCATTTTTGTATAAATCGCGATAGAGAATGGACAATACCCCTTCTTATGTTGGTAAGTTTAATTTTTTGTGATATATTTTCTAAACGAGTAAACATAAAATTTGCCCCAGCACTAGAGATCACAATGAATTGATCGATGTAACAAACTTTGCACAATTTTTTTTTTTATTTTGCATTTGTGCCGAAACGATTTTTGTTCAACAATAAGGAGTATCAAAAACCTCCCTCGCGTGATGAAAACGTGACATCACATAATTCTTTCAAATGAAACCCGAATTAACTTTTATCTCAAGTTTTTGCAATTTCATATAAGAATTACAAATTAAAATCAAAATCTAGCCCAAAATAAGATTTATATTTTAAAGGTATTTAAAGCAATCGGAAGTTTTTTTTTCGCTTATAAAAAGTTTCTTGAAAAAAAAATATTTGTATTATTAAGGAAAGATATGTTATTGATCACAAAAGTTTTGTGTTATTATATTTGCTAAATTGAGAGGGGTATATAATAAATTTCTCATAATAACAATTACTTGATCTGAAGAAAAGTATCGAGACTACCCTGTCAACTCGCCGTCGTACTAATCTTTGGGATCGAGTACTTGTTATAATGATATCTGATTTATTTATTGAACATTATGTTTAAACATCATGCATCTGTACAGAAGATGTTAAGTTTGATGGAACATTTGGTAATATCATTCATCTATGACAGTTTGAAGAGTTACAGGCTTTAAATGATTGAACAGTTGGTGCTGACCATGGGAAATTCTACATCAATTTGGCACAATATAAAATGCTAAAAATCTACCAAAAATGATTGGAAAGAAAATAATTGTATTGATTATCGTAGAATTAGATAAAAGATGAATGTTTGCAAGTTCACAATGTAGGCAATCTCACAATTTTAACACAGGTGAGCTTCCATAAGAAATCTATATCGAAGAAATATTTCAAGACCCTTTTTTAACTCTTTGCAGCAATTAATATTGCAGTGTTGAGCATATTCCTGCACTGTTTATTTTACTCAAAGCAAAGAGGAGAATAGAATTTGATTGATTGATTGTATATTGTTTAACGTCCCTCTCGAGAATTTTTCACTCATGTGGAGACTTCACCGTATGCCGGTGAAGGGCTTCAAATTTTGACCTTTACTCGGCACTCAGGGCCATTGAGCAGTGAGGGATCTTTATCGTGCCAACGCCTGCCGCTGACATTGGGCCTCGGTTTTAAAGATCTAATCCGAAGGACCTGCAACTTTCACTTCAAAGTGCCGAGCGCATGGCGAAGGAACAGTTGCTACCCATTTTATAGACTGGGTAAGTCGCGGCCGAGATACGAACTCACGATCTCCCGATCACGGAGCGAGCGCTCTACCGACTGAGCTACCGTGAACGGTGGAGAATAGATAGTCAACGTGTGAGAATTCCCGAATGCTGTAATGTTTATATTGCTGAAAAGAGGAATAATTCTTTTTATGGTAATACTTCCCCGAAAAAGATACTGTGTTCAACCTGTTAATGTTCGCAACCTAATCCTAAATGGAGGTGGGAGCTAGGTCATGATTTCGATTACCTAGAATCTGAACTGAGAATGTTTACATATCCTATGAGTTACTGTGTATTTTTTGCGTATAAGTATGAACTTTCATTTAGGACTTAACCTACCACAAGGGGTCATGTTTTAAAGAAATTTAAATCCTCTCTACCCAAGGATATTACCTTATAAATATCTCCAGTCTTGGGTCTGTTGTTCTTGAGAAAGAACATTTTTAAAAATTGTTCTAAAATATTCCTATATAAAACTGTGATCGTCCATTGTGGCCGCGCAATACCCCGGGGGTCATGATTTGTTCAAACCCGATTTTTACATCACCAAAGGTTTCTTCCACAAAATATGACCAATCATGGCTGTACAGGTGTTATTGTTGAAAATTTGTTTAAAGTTTTCTCTATATATTCCTATATAAATTTCAATTATCCATTGTGGCCCTAACAGACACCAAAGCGATGCTTTGAATAAACATGAATCTACTCTACCTAAGGATGCTTCTTTATAAACACAACCAATTATAGCTTTGTTGTTCTTCTGAAAAAAAAAATAAGATTTCTGAAATATTCCTTGGTGAAAATTTTATCGTCGATTGTGACCCAACCCTAAACCTGCGCAGCACAGTTAATGTTATAAATGAAAATATTGGCGATTTTTAAAGATAAAAAATGCATACTTTATTGGGACGAGCGATTCTTTTTAAGACTTCACTAATATGAAGAAAATGTTATGTGGTTTAAATCTACATGTTGGGGACATTTAGATTTTTTTTTATTTAGACTTGCCACGTGACGTCGACGTCACAAGATTTTAACAATTATACTTGCAGTTAAGAGGTCATCTATAAATGCCAATTTTGCAAGGGCATAACCAAGTTAAAAATCTTAGTTTAATTTACAATCCTTTTTAGCACTATATGTAATTTGTAAACAGTGCTGCAAACCTATATAAATTCCTTTTTTTAACTGCTAAAATTAAATTTGTCGGACCGCAGGTTGAATATTTTGCTGGTCAAACATAGCTATAATTAATTTATTTGCAAGATTTCATGAAGTTAGCAGCACTTTTCAAATATCTTCATGCTTCTTGAGTTTATGTGTGTAAACTTGACAAGATACATTGAGGGTATGTCCTTGCAATGAATCGATTTATTAGGGCCCTTCCATTACATTTTCAATGAATCTGCATACAAAATACACGACAGTATCACTTGTCTAGAAAATATACGGACAGTTTATAAATAAAGAACAAAAAAAGACATCACATCCAAGTTAACGACCTTTTATTTAACTCCAAATAATATTTCATTTGAGAACAAAAGACATTTTTCATTGAACAAAATATGACTTGATCAGCCTCTCGCTGTTTTGAAACTGCGACATTTTTGCGAGATGACGTCACATTGACAAGTGCCTTGCAATTGATGCATCTTTTATATACCTTTGTGTGGGATTTAACAACAGAGAAAACTGCCTGCAATAGTAAGTTTGTAAGTAGTATACAGCTATTGTGCTGTTTGAAATAGCAAATAATTTTATTTTGTGGTATTTTGAATACCTTATATTATGTGTGACATCATAGTAAACATTTCCTGTACAAATTAGGCCCCGCCTCCTCACTGTAACCTAAACTGTGCTGCGTGGGGTTCATGATTTGAACAATCTTGTATTTATACTTCCTGAGAATGCTTCCACATTAGTTTCAACTTTCCCGACCCAGTAGTTTTTGAAAAGATTTCTTTAAAC